TCTGTACTTCTGAAACAAATAATGCAATATATGTTAAGAAAAAAAAAGAAGAAGATAGCAGGAGGGGAAGAATGAAGGGGAGTAAGTCGGAGGGGGAGACGAACCATGAGAGACGATGGACCCTGAAAAACAAACTGAGGGTTCTAGAGGGGAGGGGGTGGGGGGATGGGTTAACCTGGTGATGGGTATCAAAGAGGGCACGTTCTGCATGGAGCACTGGGTGTTATGCACAAACAATGAATCATGGAACACTGCATCAAAAGCTAATGATGTAATGTATGGTGATTAACATGACAATAAAAAATAAAAAATAATAAAAATGTTTTAAATTGTAAAAAAAAAAAAACAAACCCTCCCTCTCTGCACAAAGGGCCTCGTCCTTCCCTAAAAGCGTTCACCTCCTGAGAGCCTATTCTTAGCCAGGCTCCCGGGAAGGACGGGGCGCTTTGGGACCAGGCAACAGCCCTTCCCATCTCCCCAGAGGACCAGGGTGACTTGAAGGTCATCTGTTGCCCCAGGACCTGGGAGAGATTAGATGGTTTCTTCCCGAGACGTGGTCTTCCATGTCAGGCTATCGATGGAGTGTCCTCCCTGCTTCCTGGCAGAGGCCCAGAGCGAGGGAGGAGAGGAGCCTACCATAGCATGGGGATGTACAGAACTCTGGGTATTGTGATAAAACACACCTGGTAACCAACGTGTCCCCGTGAAGCCAATGTATCAAATTCACCCGCGGGAAAACGATCTCACATTCCAGAATCCACAGGCAAGCCTTTTATTTGAAGGGAGATAATCACTTAGCACCAATCGCGCTCTCTGGTAGCTCCCCCTCTTCTGTGGAGCCCTGGCCGCGGCCCACGCAGAGCACAGTGCGCAGTGCCCACATCAAACAACACAGCGGGCCGGAGGGCGTCCCACACGCCACAGAACAAAAGTGCCCTCACACCACACAGCGGGGCTGCCCCGCTCGGGGAGCGCGAGCCGCCCCCCAGTCTCCGCCCTAGCCATCCAGGCCCCACGGGCTTCATTCAAAGCGACGCAGGTGGTTGTACAGTGACTGGACGTAGGTGAAGACGCACATGGGGTCCGGCTTGTGGCCCATCACCATCATGTCCTCCACCTCGATGAGGCGCTCGCAGTTGGCCAGATTCCTGAAACACAGAATCCTGTCAGGACAAGGGCCCCGGTTACCAGCCCGCCCCACGGCCCTGCAGACAAAGCTGCGGCGCCCTCCCACCCCAGGGCCTTCCGATGACCCCGGGGGTCACTTTACTCCAAGGCAGTGCTGCCCAGACCCCGGCATCCAGGGGCCACCAAGTCAACTCACTTCACAGACTTCCTGGTTGCAACTTTCAGTGAAATTAAAGTTCACTTTCACTAAATTCACTTACAAGTGTTAGAATTCTATTAGCGAAATTTTAGTTTAATTTAAAAATGAAGTTTCCACTAAAAAATTCAATGTATGTCGACAGGATGTGGAAATTCGCCACAAACTACAAAACGTAAAACAAAGAAAGTAGTAAATTCACCCAGGCGGCTCCTAAAATGTCTTTTAAAACGTTTACGAGACCCGCGCTTGGAGACACAGCACACGCACGCGAACGTGCCCAGGGGTGCACAGAGGTGCTTTCTGCCCCAGAGATATCCCCACAGGGCTTGTTTCTCCCCCCACCCACCCCACTTAACGCGGGCGGGAACCGCTCACCCGATTTCATGACCTGTTGGCTGACGGGCCCCAAGGGCAAGGTCAGGAAGTTGCCCACAACCCCCTCGGCCCCCCAGCCCCCCTTGCCGCACACTCTGGGAAACGCTGGTCTAGCCTTGAGCCCTGGTGTAGACGGGAAGCTGGGCGTTCCCTGGGCTGAAAAGCAGGTTCCCCGCCATCCCCAGCTCCCGTGGCAGCACCCCCAGTGACAGGGGTCAGCGCCGTGTCCTAGGAGCGGTGTCCTTCCAAACACTACCCCATGCTTCCCAGGGCGCCAGAATCGCGGGCCTGGCAGGGTCGGGCGGCACTGACTGGGCTCGAATGCCCACCCCCGGTGCTGTCAGCGTCCGTCCCTCTGCGGCCTAGTGCACTTCATGGTCCCAGGTGTGGGACCTCCTCCCCTGTGAACAAGCGGGTGACTGTCGGGGTTCACGACCTGGCCCATCCTTCCTGACTTGAGGTAAGAAAGACATGTCACTTCTCCCGGCCTCCGACTGCGCCGGCTGGTGTAACCGCCCTGCGCGGGGGGGCGGGGGGTGTCTGCCCCGTGAGCCGTGCGGTAAATGTCGGCGGTGCCGGTCATCTCTGTCATCATGCTCCATGTGAGGAGCAAGCGCGTGGACGGGAAAGGTCGGCACTTGGAATCTGAGCAGCTGGGTTCGGAGGCTAGCTCTGCTCCTCACGCCCCCGTTCTGGGCTTGCACCCCGGGGCCCACGGGCCGGTGCTGGGGGCCCCACGCACGGGACTGGAACACGAGCTAAGGGCCCCGCCCTGCATGCTGGCCGGACGCCAGGCCTCCTCTCAGACCCCGAGTGTCAGTGAAACACAGACATCTGTCCTGGATGGGCCCACTGCCGCCTCCCCCTTGGTCTGGAGCGGGTCCCTCTGAGGGAACCCAGTGGCTTTGTGAGGTGACGGGGGGGCTTGGCCCCAGGCTGGGCACCCTGGCATCCCCGACGGGCCAGGGCGGGGCTCCGTGTCCGGGAAGCGTGCGCTCTGACAAAGGACAGGTCTGTATCAGTGCTTTGTTGGTGGGGAGGGGCTGCAAATCCAAGGCCTTCTGACCTGAGTGCACCTTCCCGAGCCATCAGTCAACATCTGCCCGCCTGCCCGCCTGCCCGCCTGCCCGCCTGCCCGCCCAGGGCTGCCTCCCAAGATCCCAGATGAGCCGACCCCGCACGTGCGCTGGGCCATTCCCCCCGACGCTGGGCTCTGCGGTCCCCAGGTTAAATGAGAGCCGTATTAAAACCCTGACCCTCAGCCTGGAAAGAGAACCGAGTGCCGGTCTCCGAACACCGGGGAGGCGGCAGGTGCTCTCTCCTCGGTGGCCCTGGTCGGCTGGCTGTCCTCCAGGCCCAGGCCAGGGGCCCTCTTCCCCCAAGGCCAGGAAAGTTGCCCTCACATTTCTCATGCTAGTTTGCCTCTGGGTCCTTCCTACCTATTGGCCCCACAAGTCCATCCTCAGCCTGATTTCTTCCCACATCTCACGGTGCAAGAAAACCTTGCGAGGATCTCCCTATTGTGCCTTTTCCCCCGAAACTAAATAGCTCAAAGGGCACCGGGGAGTCTCTCCTCTGCACTGGTTCTAGCTTCTTTCCCGCCTTCTTACCAGAGGGTGCCCTTACCGGACTTCCGCGATCAGGGTGGCGGTGGGGACAGGCGCGAAGGCCTCCCCACGGCCTCCCCGCCATGACTCAGACGGGAAGCTGTGGGCAAGGTCCCAGCTTCCCAGCAAACAACCAGGGCCCCGGTCCCCACCCTGCCAGCCACACTGTCACGTCAAGACTCCTAGAAGCTGCATACAGAGGCTGAATGAGATTTTGGAATCAGGATATGAGAAGAGGAAGATGACGATCAGGGCGGAGTTTTATAACACTACGTAAGTCTCAAAGTATTAGAGGCCCCAAACGCCCTAAAAAGTTGAGGCATAACTGACAGCACGTTGCATGAAGTGCACACCCAAGTTGCCGTTTAAATCAATAAGCTGCTTTTGAAAACGCCACACCAGCTTGTTGAAAGAACTCAGACACCACGGAACAGCCCGAAGGGAAAAGTACTACCACCTTTGAATGAGTTCACGGGGCCGCACCTTGCCTGGGGCTAAGAAGGGTTCAGAGGATTCTCGGACTCCAGCTCTTTTCTGCTCTTCCGTCCATGCGGGGCTGGCCTGTGAGGGACGTGGAGGAGGGGCCGGAGGGGTTATTTTTATTTGCTTAAGCCTCCTCTAAATGCAGATGCCAGGCTCGGACTACAGCCTCCTGTCTGGTTTCAGACAGACACATGAGCACTAGAAATAGCCTGAAGCCCCTTCGGCTTGGGCGTAACCGGAGAGCAGGACACATTCCCCACAGGGCAAGCGGGAGCCTCGGGCCACACATCCGGCTCTGGGCCTGCCCTCGGCCTGGGGCTGGTGGGGGGGCAGGGTGCAGAGGGCAGGCCACCACACACCCACCGCAGCCCCTTCCATAAAAGGGCTGGTCTTCCCGCTTCTCAAGCCCGGGACACCTGTCCAACAAGGGAGCTCACTCTGCTGTCAACACTGCATTGCTCGCACAGATTAGGCCATGGGGAATCTCTGGGACCGTCCGTTACAGGGAGGAGGGGCAGCACCAACCCCTGACATGGCACAGGTTCCCCGGGCATCTTTGTGCTTCTACGGCCCTTGCTCACGGAAGGGTCTGGAAGCACTTCCTTCCTGATGGGAGGTGAACCCCGTGTCTGAGAGGCCTGTCTGTCCTCCATCCCGCACTGTCTGCTCCTGACCAGCCTGCCGTCCAAGGAACCAGGTGACCCAAGCTGCCCCTGCGAGGTCACCTCCCACAGGACTCCCAGGGGAGGCCCCTTCCCAGACCCCGAACAAGCTCCCCACACAGGCCTGCCCAGGGCACCCCCTCCCCGGTCCCCCTCAAGGCGGAGGAAAGCCGGAACTCATCTCAGGAGCAGGCAGACCACCCTCCCCTCCCCAGACATGAGCAGGCCACGGGGAGGCAGGGCCAGGCTGCTGACTCCGTTTGCTCTGGGGGAAAGAAAGCAAAGCCTGGAGCGGCCTGCACCATCACCTCCCAGGCTGGGAATAGAAGAAACGTGCGTTCTGAGTCTGGAGGCTCCATGAGCCCAACCCTCGTGCTGGGAGAGCGTAGCCGCAGACGGCTCTGGCTCCAGCTGCAGGGTTTGGGGCAGGCTGGGCGGGGGCGGGGGCTGTGTTCCCCGCAATCTGCAATGCAGGGATGCAGGGCCACCACTCTCCCTGCTCGGCCCAGCCTGCTCCAGGGCACGGCCCCCTGGTCTTGACGGAAGAGAACTCCAGGGGCCACAAGCGGCCTCGCCAGCTGGGGTAGGCCTCTGCATGCCCGCATCAGAGCCCCAGCCCCGCACACACAGTCCGCGGTTTGACCGCCACCCTGTCTAGGCTCCCAGCGGCTGGGCCTCCCCCTGCGAGGCACCCCTCCCCAACACCGTGCCGTCCCCCTTGGCTCTGCTTCACCACCGTCTGGGTCCAGTTGCATAACACGCTCCATCCAGAGCTGTTTCTGTGATTAGGATGACAGCTAATCCCAAGCAGCCAAGAAAGAGAAGGCTTTTAAAGGATACAAGGAGTTCTTGGGACCCCAAGGGGGCCCAGAGCCCAAGCGTGTCACCCGAGACCACACCACAGGGGCAATACCAACATTCCTACAGCTCAGCCAAGAAGCTCAGAGCCAGGGTCTCCATCCGTCCCCAGAGCGGGAGCTGTGGCTCGGGAGAGGGGCGGCCCCCTCAGCTTCCCTGGCCAGGCCCGGGGTCCAGGCCTGGAGTGCGGCCTCCCCCCGCTCAAGGCACTGGGTGGGCACGTGCAGGCTGCTCAGGGGGCTGATGTCACCAGGCACAGAGGCTGCAGCAGGAGAGATAAACACTCCCTCCAGGAAACTCGGCTTTGGGGGCACCTTCCTTCCCTCTGACCTTCTTCCCCTTGATTCCTGGAAACTGAGCATCAGGCAGCCCCAAACATCCTCCTCTGTGCCCCGTCTCCAGGTTCCCCGGCCCTTTGCGTCCTGACGGTGTTCAGCCAACAGGACGCCCTGGTGTGAGGACAGAGCACTTTCTCCCAGCCCCCTGCCCACCAGCCACTGGGAGCTGGTCCATCCACGGCCCTCTCCCCGCAACTGCTCTCCGGCACCCCCAGAACGCCAGGCAGACCACCCCCAGGGGACTGCCTGCATCCCCACCAGAACGCTGGTGCACCGCGGGCTGCCCGAGCCGACCACCAAATCCCAGCCTGGGGGTCCCAGAATCTCCCCCCACCCAACCTCCCCCCGGTGAGTGGGTCTCAGGAAGGGAGGCGGTTGCATATCAGACACCAGAACAGCATTTAGAGAAGCAAAATCGACTTATTGCAGACGTTTTCAAAATGTCTCCCAGGCAGATGTTATCTGATTTCCTGCTCACCCAAAAGCAACGGTATGTCCCCACCAGCCCTGAGAGGACAGACCGGGTGCCCTAGGAGACCCCACCCCACGGCCCCCCGTGCCCTGTCGGTCAGTGGCTGGTCTCCCAGACCGCACACACACCAGGGGCCGGGTCACCCGGCAGGAAGGGCAGGTGCGGTGAGCCCTCCTCGGCGAGTCTGGACGACCCCCCAGCTGTCCAGGAGGCGGGTGGCGTGGAGGGCCTCCTGTCGTGCCTGCCCCATGCTCCCCCATCCCCCGGGCAGACGCCGGCTCAGGACCCGCCACACTCACTCAGCCATGGAGAAGGCCAGCTCGAAGTTCCTCTGCGGCTGCGTGGGGCTCAGGGCGCTGTAGTCGAAGGCATCGGGGAAGAAGGAGTGCACCAGGGCGCAGAAGGCCATTCCGTCGCTCCAGCTGGAGGAGAAGTTCTGCAGGTCCACGTGCTTCCGGCCGGCCGGGGGTCAACACAGGGAGGTGAGCGGGTCCCCCCCCAGCAGCCCCTCCCGGCGCCCGCCCGGTCCGCAGGAGGCCCCAGGGTTCCGGGCACGGGCTGTGGGCGGCGGCCAGGGAGGCGGCAGGGCTGGGGCGGGACCCGGGCTCACCTGGTAGCCGAGAGTCTTCTTGCGACACCATCGCAGCAGGAGCTGCTTGATGCTGCCGGCGCCGACCCCGAAGCTCTGGGACCGCTTCAGCTCAGCCCGCACCTCGCCCTTGCCCCTGTGCCAAGAGCCAGCCTGCAACGGGGCACTCCTCCTCCCGGGGCCGGCCGGGGTCCCCAGCGCGGCCAGCCCCCGGGAGGATGCCCCACCGGCTCTGTGCCCCCGGGGAGCCCCCTGACAACATCGGGCAGGACCGCCCTCCCTCCAGCCCCCAAGCCCCGTCTCTGTCCCACATTGGGAATCAGGGGTCCCGAGCCCGCAGGGCCCCCCTTCCCTTCGTCCAGCCGCCCCAAGGCCACCCTCACTGACAGGTTCCTTCCTAGCCAGAGAGGGGGTCCTCCTAGGACGCTCCCTAGCGGGATCAGGCCGCCGGCTCAGTCTCCCTCCCTGCTGGGAAGACAGGCCTGGGTCCCACCCTGCACACCGCAGGCGTCAGGCTGCGAGCTGGATCCCTGTGCCAAGGACAGCCCTGTCTCTCCGAGGGCCAGGGTGTCACCCCACAGCTACCCCCGGGAGCCCCTGTCACGCCCAGGAACCAGGGAAGGCGGCGGAGGGCGGCCTGGGACACCCCTGGGACGGGGCAGGAGAGGGGCTCTCGTCAAGGGGGACAGGGCAGGGCCAGCTCTGCTGAGCTGCGCCCGCCAGGCCACCATTTGGGGCTGGGCCCACGCTGGGCTTGAGCGTCCGTACTTGCCCGCGGTACCCTGCTCCCACTTCTCAAACAAGGCTTTCCGGGCCTGTGCTCCCGACGTGCGGGGCAGCGTCTGCGACCTCACCAGCTCCCGGCGCCGGGCCTGGGCGGCGGCTGGCGGCGGGGAGGCCGGGGGCGACCGGGGCGGCGTCACCAGGGGTGGGCTGAGGAGAGAACCAGCGTGTCGGGAACACCCAGGCCCCCATGGGCCCAGGGTCCCCCCGCCCCACAGGGTGACGGAGGCAGAAGTGGCCGGAACAGAGGAGGGACCAACCTGTCGAGCGGTGTGGGGATCCACACCCTGCCCTTCCTGCCGGGTGACTTGGCCCCCGGTGGTGTGGGTTGTCCCAGCCCCACACCGGAGGGAGAGCTGCCCCTCTTGCTGGGCATAATCACCCACCCCTCAGCAGGGGCCAGTTCCTGTGGCGGGCAGGGCGGCGTACCCCAGACCAGCCCCACCAGGCCCAGACCCCCCCTCCACCCCCACTAGATAAGACCCCTTTGTCTCCTCCTCGACAGTTTGCCACAAAGTCACAATTTTCCTTTATGATTGCAGGAAAAGCCAAGCCCGCCCCCCACCCCCTCCCAGCTCCAATCTCAGTCCGGCTGCCCTGCGGGGAGCCCCCACACACCTGCCCCAGCCCCGGGGCCTCTCCAGTGCCTCCTCCGTCCCGTCCGGGCAGGAAGCACCCGGCGGAGGGAGCCCCGCCAGCCAGGACGAAGACAGCCTCCCACCTCCTCTGTGGGGCCGGAGACACCGGCTCGATCCTGGCCCAGACCTGATCTGAGGAGCCCACGCAGACACAGCTGCAGCCATATCCAAACAAGACTGTCGAGGGGGAGGCCTGCCCTGCCTCCCCTGCACAATCCCCCCGCCCCGCACAGCCCTGCTGCCCTGGCTCTCAGCTCTGGCTCAGCACAGGGCCACTCCGCTGGTGGCCGGGGAGCGCGAGGCCATCGTGACCCACCTGTCGCTGTTCCTGCCTGTGGACGCTGCCCCGTAGCCGGCGCTCAACCGCGGGACGGATGGGTTCTTCTCTGTGGGACGAGGAGAGAAGAGAAGTAGCCCTGGTCGCGGGAGACCAGCGCCGGCCCCCCTCCCCTGCCCCGGCATCACTCCCTGGACAGTCAGGTGCCCCAGGCTCCGCGGGCCCCACCTCGGCCAACAGCTGAGGAAGAGGAAGCTGGGAACATAGAGCAAGGACATAAAAGCTCTGGTACGTGTCCCCACCCTGCGTTTGAGGGCACAGGGCCCAGGGCCTCCTGAGCTGCGTACCCAGCAGGCACTCTGTTCCCCAACCCTCCTTCCGGAAGCCCCCGGGACCACCAGCAGCAGCCTGACCAGAGGCCCAAGCCAGGCCCGGAGAACCACACCAACTGTGCAGGGATGCGAGCCCCCTTCTCTCCACACGGGCCTGGGGTCCCGACTGAGGGATGTCCCCGTGGGGACGGGCCGCACGGACGGGCTAGGGGCGGGGCTGCAGTGGTGGGCACAGGTGGGGCTGTGGCATGGCCCCAGCTCTTCTGGGTCTCCTGCCAACCCCCCGGCCCCTGAGCCCTGCCTGCCCTCCCCGCCTGAGGTGGGGTCTGCCCCCAGGCCACGCTCTCCTGCTCCTACCGCTGGGACCGGGGGCCCACGGTGTGGTGGCCTCACTGGGGCTGGGGCTCAGGCCCCCCAGGACGGGGGCAGACGTGGGCGAGACAGCCGCGGCTGAGGTCTCCCCCGAGAACCTCTCAGAGACGCGAGTGACGGCCGTGACGGGCTGGTGAGGCAGCCGCAAGGAGAGGCTCACAGGGCGAGGCCTGGGCGGCTCTGGCGCCGGCAACGTCTGGGCAGCCTCCGGGGGTCCGTCGCCCAGACCTGGAACACGACCCGTGGGGTGGGGTGCAGGTCAGCCATGGCATCCGCAGGGGACCCAGAGCCCCGCCTCCAGGAGGACTCTAGACTCCCCGACCCTCCTCCCACCGCCTCCAGGAAGGCCTCCCTGACCTCCCCCTTCCAGGGACGCCTCGACACTCCAACCAGAGTTTACGTCTACTGCAAACTGCCCGCACACTCAGCTCAGTAAACACTAGCTAGCCTGTCAGCCACTCTATGCTTCTCCCTGCGTGGACGATTCCTCAGCCCCTGCTTGCATTCCTCCAGAAACAGGGAAGCTCACCACCTTTCGAGAGCTCCCATTTCCCTCTGTGTTTAAAAAACTCGACTTCATCCTGAGCAAAGCCGCCCTCCGGGCAGCCTCTCTACCCGTCAGGAGTCCAGGGTCAGGCCACCTCCCAGCCAAGGGCTGGCCTGGCACAGATGCAAACCCCCAGCCACCCCTCCTGTGCCATCGGCCCCTACCTGCCCCCGGCTGGTGCCCATTCTCGATGACGCACGAGTCTGAGGCCTTCCTCGTCTCCAGCTCACTGGCTTCGTCCTGGTGATCCACGCTCTACAGAGACACACGCCACGAGGAGGCCCCGTCAGGTAGGGCCCGCTGCCCACCCCCAAAACTGCTGTCCAAAGCCCCCCTCGTTCTGGGGGCGAACAACACTCGCGTTTGAGAGGCAGCCCCCAGAAGATACCGTAGTGGGCCCAGGCCACACGGCACCCTGGGGCGGACCCAGCCAGGCAAACGTGCCCAGGGTGCCAGGGACAAAAGATCGGGAACCAGGGTTCTGAGCCGTGTATAAGGTGGCCCAGCCTTCTCCCAGACTGCTCCCCAGGCCGGCTGCCACTGTGGAGACAGCCATGAGCAGAAGCGTAAGCTTCTCTGTGCCAACACTGGGCATGGGGGACCGAGGACTTTTTGTTAGACCCAGAGCTACAAAATTTGCCCGGGGCCTGGAGTATGGGGGCCTGACTGGCTCCTTGGGGCTCCTCCAACCCAGGAGCCACCGGGGGGCCTGGTGTCCCGGCCGTGCCGCCGACCGCCACGTTGCTGGGCTCAGGTCTTGCCCCTTCCGGGTCTCTGTTTCCCTGTTGGAGGCAAGGCGGCTCCACACGCACCCTCTGAGCGTCTCAGGGGTGTCAGGCCCTTTTTGTGGGCATGCCACTTAACCAACGCGCTCTGTCCTCCCAGGTGCATGCTAACAGCCCTCGTTTGGCGGACAGAACCCGGGGGCTCAGAGAAGGGGTGTGAGAAGCAGCTGATGTCTGTGGCCAGGAGGGACGTTCTCCTCCCTTCTCCCGGTGAGGGGCCGTGGGGAGGGCCCAGAGTGTCTGCAAGGCCGGGGTCTGGGGGTCTGCCTGACAGGAAGGAGATCGAGGCTGACCACTACCAGGCCTCTCCTCAGAGGCCGCGATGGGCACCTGGAGAGAGAGGCCGTCCCCTCCGCTGGACACCGCCGAGGTCTGCAAGGTTCCCAGATGACTTACAAAGCCCATCCCGGGCGGGCCCCAGGCGGCTCAGCCCCTCCCGCACCCAGGGCCAGCGTGGCCACTCTGCCGGGGCGGGGGGGGGGGGGGGCAGGTGTAGGTCGGGAGCCAGGACCACGAGCACACACCGCCAAGCCAGCCCAACAGTCATGCCTGCGACAGACTTCCTCCAGCCCAGTGGGTCAGGGAGGGCTTCCCAGAGGCGGCAGCGCCCAAGCCAATCTGGAGTGAGCCAGGTGGACGAGGAGGGGCGGCCGTTCCCAGCAGAGCGACCCGTGTCTGCGGCAACAGGCGTGGAGGCTGCAGCATTCCCATCCAGCAGCGGGGGACGCGCCGGGCAGCCCCCGGGGTCAGCCCGTGGGGAGGGAACACGGGGGCCGTGCGCGGGTAAAGGGAGAAGGACTCACAGCTCTGGGGGCAGTGAGCGGATGCGGAGCGCGGGGGGCGAGGCCTCTTCGAAGCCTGGGCTTCGGGTCCGAGCGGCGAGGAGGAAGGGAGGGGCGTTGGTCGGAAAACGAGACTTGGGTTTGGGACACGCTGAGTGTAAGGTGCCCCTGGGCAGCAGGGCCTTGAGGTCAGGGGATGGCTGCGTGTCTGAGGCTGCAGTTGAAGAGGAAGGACGGGGGAGGAGGGGGAAGGA